TATATTAGGTATAACCCAAAAATGGTCCCCATAAATGTGGGGTCTAAAACAATTGCTTTACCCGCTTTATGGACGGGCCGCCCCTGCCTATAATGTGCTTTTTAACGGTACAAATTCGAATTACTCAAACTAAAGAGCTTGCGCAGCGGATGATAAACAAAAAAGAGAGTACAAACCAAATAGATTTGTTTTGGATAAATAAACAGGTTTTAGCTTCAACAGACAAATTTTAAATAGCACAGACGCATTCGTCTAGACTTATAATCGCAATTATCATAAGCGACTTATAAGTCGCAATGGCCATATGCGACTCATATGAGACTTATCTCAATGACTTTTAACTCAGAGTTGTTGTATGCGACTTATAACTCGCAATTCTTATAACTTGCAGTTGCCATATGCGACTTATAACTCGCTATTCATATGGACTTATATTGCTATGCGACTTATATGTAATGGTTTTATTAACTGTTAATTCTCCTAACCTTCATGCCAATTCTCTATTATTGTCGGTGGCAATGGCGGAGCCACATGTACCAAAGGGATGTCAACCGACAAAGGCGGATCTGCTTGATCATCTCGAAGCATCTCCCTACGCTTAAAAGAACCCCCAACAATATTTAAAACATTTGCAAGCATATCAAAAAATTATTCGGTCTCATAATGTTTTTTTGCAACAGCTACAAGAGTCAATTGCAATTGATGAGCAAAATAATGTATGCAATATGCTGAAGGAGTATCATTCATAATCAAAGTTTTAAGACCATTAATTTCTCCCTGCATGTTACTAGCTCCATCATAACCTTGTCCCCGTATTTCAAATTTACTCAATGAATGTTCCAAAGGCAAAGAATAAATTGCTTCTTTTAATGACTTTGCATATGTATCTTTAACATGAACAATGCTAAGGAATCGCTCAATAACTTTACCCTCTTTGTTGACATAACGTAAAATAAGCGCCATTTGTTCCTTATGAGAGACATCCTTAGACTCATCAACCAATATCCCAAAGTAATCCTCGTTCAAGTCTTCAACAATTATTTTCAATGTTTCTTTCGCACAAGAACTCACAATATCTTTTTGTATATTTGGACAAATCATAATGTCATTTTTTGGAGCATTTTCTAACACAACTTTCTTTACATCATTCTTCTTATTTGCATACCACTTTAAGAGATCCAAGAAGTTGCCTCTTCTGGTAGAAGTTTCACGTTCATCGTGACCCCGAAAAGACATTCTTTCTTTCAAAAGATACCTTGCAACATCAATTGAGGCATTCAGGCGAACCCGATACTCACTTTTCGTTTTCTCAGATTGCTTATCAAAAGATGTTAAAATAGATTGTGCTTGATTCGATAAATCCAGCATCATCTTCAAACACCGATTATGAACACTATTCACTTCACCCACATGTGCGTTAAACCTCTCTATACCTTTATTCCAAGTCTTAAAATCAACTTTTGTAAAAGAATCACTTACTTTTTTTCCCATATCCTCCTATCTCATTTTTAAACAAATAACAACATAAGCAAAATGCTGCATCTTCTTTAATACTGTATTCTAACCATCCAGAATATGAAGTTTTAAACCATTCCGGATTAAAATGACGCAATTTTTCACCAAAATTTATTTTTGGAAAAATAAAATTGCGAGGCCGACAAGGCCCTTTTTGAATGTAATGTCTTCTCACTTGGTCACGCAGATTAGGAGGAAATTCTGAAATTTATTTTCTTTCATCAGGATCAGGTTTAAATAGATTCTGATCCAATATAATATTTTTGTGTGATGGTTGGGAAGAATTGACATTATCATTAATCACTGGACAGGAAGGAGAGCTTAGCGAAGGAGAACTAGAAGTAGAACCTGAAGAGGTTTGCGGCTTGAAAAATCTCTTGATCATATCAAGTCTCACTAAAATTCCCTACAAATCATAAGACACAAATTAAATATTACAGATGAATATAAGAGGAAAATAGTTAAGAAATATTATTTTATATAATATAATATAAGAG